ATAATAATAATAATAATAATAATAATAATAATAATAATAATAATAATAATAATAATAATAATAATAATAACAACAACTACTTAAAAGAATATAAATAATGGGCAACTAATCAATTTTTTTGCCAAACTAATACAAAAGAAAAAAAAGCACATGTTCCTTAAACTTCGTCAGTGCTGAGACGTTCCTTCTCTCTCTTTATTGGCAACTTTTTCCTCCCCGTTTCTGTTTCACAAAAAAAGGGCTGCCTGCAACACACCTAGTATTTTTTTCCAACTACTTCAAAGCAAAATAAAGATCCACGCGACTGTATCTTCCAATTGCCGCAATTATGGCAGAAGACCAGTCATCACCATCATCTCCGGTTGATGAACCAGTCGTCAATGGGCTTGAAGGTTCTTATGAATTTATTGATACGAGAGATAATCCTGAACCGGTACAGACAAATGGAGATGGGTTTGGTATTTATTACATTACTTCGATTCTTTCTTTTTCTTGATCTAGGGTGAGGTGAAATTTACCTCCATCTTTTAATATAAATTCAGAAGCTGAATCTTCATCTGAGACCAGTGAGGATAATCAACGTTTTCCAGATGAGGAAGATAATTTTTCTTCAGGAGAACGTGTCTCGGAGCTTCGTGCCGTCGAAAGACAACCATTCACATATCCCACAAATTTTCGCATACTTTACGTTGGTTCGCTACCAAACGAACAATTAAAACAATTACTATTTATGAAGTTTGTGGGTGGGTTGTCTGATATTTTCTGGGAAGAAGCGAACAACGACCTACAAAGCTATGAAATAAAGCAAGAGAGAAAAAGTATTCTTTATCCGGTTAGCAACATCGAAGATCCCCAGTACTATCCCGACTCGGGCGTTGCAATCATCGAGGCTGACTTCACAAATCGACCGTTTGGAGATGCGTTTGATTATCTTCTTAATCAATACCAAAAAAAAGATAATAATGACGAGGATTTAGTTGATTTATGCGTCTTCTTTATACCAACTGATGTGCCGCAACTTACCCGCGAGGTTATTCCATTCATGAAGAAATTACAAGGAAAAGTCACCATATTCCCGATCATCGCATCAGCAAAAGACTTGAATGGATCCGGGACCTATTTCAAAAACGAATGTGAAGACAAACGAAAATCAATTGCAAGATGCTTCGAAGAGAACAACATTGATATTTTTATATGGAAAGATGACGGGTTAATCCAAGAGCGACACGTAGTTAAAGGCGAGCAGATCCCGCGTTGGGTTGAAACATATAACACAAAAAAAGTTCTTGCGGTCGAAGAATTCACCGAGATAGATTCGGATCTACTTTTTGAGGACCTGAAATTGTTGCGCGAACGGTCGTTGGAGATGCGAAAAGATCGTCAACATGATGAAATGGTCAAAAAGAGGGTTCAGACTTTTGAGTGGTTTGTGGAAATTCTTCGGACTTTTACTATTGTGTTGACCATTCTTTATACGTTATATTTGGTGGTGTTTGGTGTTTGGAGTTATGCTGAATGGTCGGTCATGTCGTCTGATCTCCGAGAATCATTACAAGTCGTGTCAAGCGCAACGTTTGGCAATAATATGCCAAACTTGCTGTCTGGTGGAAATAACATCAATTACGAGGACACATCAGGCCGCTTTGAAGTGTATCAATTATCTCGATCACGATTTGTCATTGATACATCCTCGAGACGGGACAATGAGGCATCGTTTGAGGTAACCGTCAAGCATAATCCTCAATTATTACGCCGCTATGAGTCTGTAGAACTTAGAAATGGAAAATACGAATTTGATATTGACGTCTCCGGTGCTAAAGGAGACGTTATTGTAGAAGTATGGGAGAAATATGATAAAACAGCCAGAATAGTAAAATGGTCACCAGATAAAGTCACAAAACTTGTATCTGAAGCAGCAGTACCTAAGGAAGACGAAAACGGTATAATTAAAGGAGCAACCAATTATGTTATGCTTGCTGCTCATAATATAAAACACTGGACGACACCATCCATTCAAAAAGTCAAATCATGGGTAGCAAAAGTCCAACAGAATATCGAAGATAATGCTATTAGCTTTGCACTCGCCTCTCAAAATTGGGTGAAGGACATCAAAGAGAAACTCGAAGAAAAATGGGTGCCTGTATGGGATGCGTTCAGAAAGTGGGGTATTTACCTCAAGGAGCAGTTGGGTGCATTAGTAGCTAACTAGACGTTGTTTATGTGAGGTTGCTTTCTTTTGAATGATAGTATTAATATTATTAATGCAATTTTTAGTTCGTTCTTTGATTAATAAGAGCTATAAAATTTATGCTTAGGTTCAACGCTGCATAGAGTTATGATCTTGCTTTTTATACCCAACCCCATAAAATCTCGAATGTTGTATTATCATTATTAGCATATACCCAGTATGTTTTTTTATTGTTATATATTTATATATTTGTATTGCATGCATATGTAATGTTCGGTGATTTCAAATTGGTGGGTGGTATGTATATGTGGGATATATTAAAAGGCTATACCACTACTTTAATCTTAATTTATCTTAATTTTACAAAGAAATTTTATCTTTATACTAATATTTTTGACTTTGAACTTGATGTAGTATTATCTTAAAAGGATAATAAAAGAAAAGAATAAGTAGTAACTTATATAAGTATTTCATTAAAATCAGTAAAAAAGAATTATAATATTACTAAAAAAGAAATTCTAGTTATAATCTGAACTAAAAATGACTTTTCAACTATTATAATATGGTAATAAATAAGTATTATTTAATTATAACTAGTTATAACTTATAAAATTTTAAAATTACAACATATTATAACAGATGACAAATAAGTATCATATACTTACTATACTATCTCTAGTTAAACTATCAAATAATTTTAATATTATCTTTTTGAACTCTTATTTAAAATTATTACTAATTATAATATACTTTAATAGCTATTCACTAAATAAGTTACTTCTAGATCTTAAATCTTATATTGGATAATGATCATGATAGAATACAATTTTATTATCATTTATCAAGCTAAAAAAATTAATTAAAATACAGATACTTTCTCAAAAATATATTTATAAGAATAAAAAATTAAAACTTACTGAATTAATAAAATATTTGAAATAACTTTTACTAGATTCAAATCTAATTAATTTAATATAATAAATTTAATTATATATTATAATCTAATAAGATATTTAGAAAATGAAAGTTATTCTATAAGATATACTAAAGAATGATAAAAAAAAATTTGTTAGTAATTAAAATACTTTTTAATAATTAATGAAATACTTTACAAAAAGAATAAAAAAAAAGAATTTACTATATTATTTTGAGTATTAAAAGAAATTAAAATTAAAATAATAATAACTATTATATATTTAAATTTATTTGCTAAATACTTTGAATTTGATAGAACTTATTAATAAATAACTATTAAATATTGGTAAAATAAAATAGAAATAGATATAAAAAACTTTATTAAATCTTATAAAACTTATTAAAAAACTGATAGATAAATTATAAAATAATTCTTATATCTTATTAAAGTTAGATAGTCTTTTGATAAAATTATAATTAATTTTATTGAATCTTATAAAGTAACTAAGAAAAGAAATTGATATATTATTATAGTAATAGATTCATTAACTAAATAGTCTGAAGCAAAAGTAATTTCAAATAAAAAAGCTAGTATAATATTACAAATTATATTCTGAAAGGTAGATTTTATCATGAATATAATTTATAATAAGTTTTAAGAGTGAAGACTAAATTATTTATAAAGATAAAGAGAATTATAATTATTTTAAAGATTTTCTAGTACTAATACTTATGAGTATTATATTAATACAAGGTAAAAATAA